ATGTCAGGAACAAGATTGTAGACCTACACAAGGCTGGAATGGGCTACAAGACCATTGCAAAGCAGCTTGGTGAGAAGGTGACAACAGTTGGTGTGATTATTCGCAAATGGAAGAAACACAAAAGAACTGTCAATCTCCCTCGGCCTGGGGCTCCATGCAAGATCTCACCTCGTGGGGTTGCAATGATCATGAGAACGGTGAGGAATCAGCCCAGAACTACACGGGAGAATCTTGTCAATAATCTTAAGGCAGCTGGGACTATAGTCACCAAGAAAACAATTGGTACCACACTACGCCGTGAAGGACTGAAATCCTGCAGCGCCCGTAAGGTCCCCCTACTCAAGAAAGCACATATACATGCCCGTCTGAAATTTGCAAATGAACATCTGAATGATTCAGAGGACAACTGGGTGAAAGTGTTGTGGTCAGATGAGACCAAAATGGAGCTCTTTGGCATCAACTCAACTCGCCGCGTTTTGAGAAGGAGGAATGCTGCCGATGACCCCAAGAACAACATCCCCACCGTCAAACATGGAGGTGGAATCATGCTTTGGGGGTGTTTTTCTGCTAAGGGGACAGGACAACTTCACCGCATCAAAGGGACGATGGACGGGGCCATGTACCATCAAATCTTGGGTGAGAATCTCCTTCCCTCAGCCAGGACATTGAAAATGGGTCGTGGATGGGTATTCCAGCATGACAATGACCCAAAACACACAGCCAAGGCAACAAAGGAGTGGCTCAAGAAGAAGCACATTAAGGTCCTGGGGTGGCCTAGCCAGTCTCCAGACCTTAATCCCATAGAAAATCTGTGGAGGGAGCTGAAGGTTCGAGTTGCCAAACGTCAGCCTCAAAACCTTAATGACTTGGAGAAGATCTGCAAAGAGGAGTGGGACAAAATCCCTCCTGAGATGTGTGCAAACCTGGTGGCCAACTACAAGAAACGTCTGACCTCTGTGATTGCCAACAAGAGGTTTGCCACCAAGTACTAAGTCATGTTTTGCAGAGGGGTCAAATACTTATTTCCCTCATTAAAATGCAAATCAATTTATAACATTTTTGATATGCGTTTTTCGGGATTTTTTTGTTGTTATTCTGTCTCTCACTGTTCAAATAAACCTACCATGAAAATTATAGACTAATCATTTCTTTGTCAGTGGGCAAACGTACAAAATCAGCAGGGGATCAAATACTTTTTTCCCTCAATGTAGGGTAGTGTAATTCAGCACGAAATGCGTCTAGGATCACAGAAGCAAAACCAAACCAGAAAATAACGCCTAACAGGACAGAATAAAACGTGTTGCTCATGTTCGTAATAAGAAAACCATCCAGTCCTGTAATCAAACAATGATCTGTCCCTGGCGAAACGGAAATGTGAGCTATGCATTTCGCTGCATCGGGGCCGTTCAATCTCTGATATCAACAATCACGAGCCAATTTCCATCCCTGTCGACACGTCTGATCTCGGATAAATTGCTTCCGGATGTCTGTGGGATGATAAGCCTTCTGGCTGAGACATATATTCGGTCTCTAAGCAAAAAAAACAATGTTTGACTATTGGAATCAACAGTCAAAAAATGGTCAGTGAAAGTGTCTGAGCTAGAGGTGACTGCAATCTTCACTGGAGGCCCTGCACCAGCAGTGGAAATTCCAAGTTACTATGGCAGGGGGTAGGGCTTTCAGAAGAACAGCCAGTTGACTTGAGTGATGGGCTGAGTCGACCCCCGACCGCGATTTGAACTCGCTCCGATCGTAAGCAAAGTGATTTTGCTACGGCATCCACCAGCCTGCGTGTTTTTAACTGTCAGTGAGAAGTCACAGCACGTTTCAGTCTCGACAATGAATCAGCACTGCAGCGTGAATCAAACTTGCACAAATGACAACAGTGGTTGGAAGCAGTGAATTTATCTCTCGACCTATTACGGTCGGAACGCCGCAGGGGTCTGTTTTAGGCCTACTGCTGGGTTTTATTTATGTGTAACATCTGTCGACAACATGCTATAAAACTAACATGTGGATGGAATCGTGTGTGAGTGTGTGAGTATGTGTGTATGTGTGTGTGGGGAGCGATAGTACAGTGATGAGAGAACTGCGCTACGAACCCGGTGACCCGAGTTGGACTCCCACTCACGGCCAAGAGCAGTCTAGATAATCTGAACCGATCCTGGACCTCCTCTACGTCCATTCAGCCTCAAATGAGTACCCAGGAAGGTGTGTGAACATCGCCACTAGGGAGACAAAAGCGGCCAGGCGTGGTGCTGGCCACCCACCCCCTCGTGTGCCGTGCCGGCCTTCATAGGTGCTCACTCACAGATAGCTTGGTGCACAAAATCAGTAAATGGTACAAATATTTAAATCTCTTTTTTATTAAGGACTATAACATGGCGTATTAATGGGTTTTTCAGAAGATTCCCACATAGGCATGTTTGGATAATTTCCTTTTTAAGGAGTTTTTGTTTCACTTTAAAGTAAACAAAAACAGCTCAAGAAACGCTACTCAATATGTAAGAAAAACACTCAGTTAGTTCTGTACAAAAGAGTTTGTGAACCCATTTTCTGCACCGCTATCTGCTGGTTAAGCAATTTGACGTATTTGTACAATCCACCAACCCTGGTCTCTCAAGCGATGGATTGCAGTCATGTGGAACCACCACTCCTAGGCATCTCCTACGTCAATTCAGCATTAAAATGGCATCTATTGAGGTGCGTAAACAATCAGTCCTCGGGTGACCAAGGCGGCAACGCATGTCGCCTGTTGCACTACCCCCTTAAGAACTGCGCCGCCCTTAATGGACGCTCAGGGCATTTGCTGGTACTGTCTACGAGGCGTCACGGGAAGTCTTTTCTGTTGGCAGCCAACGACCCTCCGCTGCTACTGTGCGCACGACGGAGGGCATGCTCCATCAGCGGCACTCTACAGCGGCACAGCTAGCAATGCCTGCGAGCGAGCAAGCACCGTCAGGACAAAACGACGCTCGTAAGAGCAACTCGCACCAAGTGTTGCGGCATATCAACTTAGCTGCTCAACGGCTCCACCACCAGACTCGACGCGTAAGTTTAACGAGCAAGTTACAAATCGCCACTGGCAAGCCCTGAGCTGGCGTTGGTGAAGTCGACTTCACAGTCACTCCACAGGACGGAAATAAATGGCGACTCGCCAACCCAACGCCATGAGCAGAGTTGGTCGAGCTGACCTCCGCCCTCAATTTGAACTCGCGACCTTCCCATGGAGAAACGGCATTTGAAACCACAGTGCCACCTGGCCGGAATACTACATCGTGCACTGCATCGCGTACACTAAAACGTGATATGGTGTTCACCGAACTTCCCACTGACACCGACACAGTGAATGGAACATCAGCCCAAAGTACTGAAGTGGATCTCTATTACTCTGGCTTCCACAGTTTAAAATTGCTTCGAGGAAACGTTGACGCGTGCACTATTCACCAGTGCACATCCCTCACAGATGCGGTATCACTGGCTTCTCTTGGATTCATCAAATCATCAACGACTCACCTAGCAAATGTCAATGAGCCTTAGTACAAGGCCATGTGCACAGGTCATCGCGGATCGATGCAACAGATCACCACTCCCCCCCCTCCCGCTGCTGTCCCAAGCGAAATGACCGACTGAATTCCTAGAACACTCGTCCCAGTTGTGTGCAAGCATGCTACGCTACTACGTTAAATGTTTTCGGTTGAGAAGGAAGCAGATTAAGGGGGAAACTAAGAGGCAGTTTGGATAATAGTCAAGCCAGCTAATAGGTCAGCTTGCTCACAGACATATAGGCTAATTAGTGAAGCAGCTTAGTAAACAAACTGTATAATTGGCTAGCAAGCTAATAGGCACTCTGTAGGACTGATTGTATAAGAGGCAAGCCACCTAATAGCCAGGCCAGCTACAATCCAGATAGTTTCATAGGATAGTCAAGTAGGCTTACACAAATTCACTTGTGAGGTAAGAGGCTCACAGACAGGCCAGCTCTAGACAAGGTTGCCAAAAGGCATTCGAGCTAATAGGCAGGCCAGTAGGCATGGAACAGCACATTCATTCAGCAATTACAATTGGCTCTTACACCCACAAAACATGAATCAAACAGACACATAAGATGCCACATATAGGCCAAAGGAGTGAAGAAAACTCGATAAAGGAGACAAATAATAAAGCCAAAATAAATGATGCCAGTGTATGGAATAATAAATATCTATTCTTTCATCCTGAGCCTAAAATCGCTGGGAGGAGGTTAATATTGAAATTCCCGCTATATTGCCGGCAGTCTATTAGTTAAGCTGGCTGGCTCATAGGGAGGTTGGTTAATCAGTAGGCAAGTGAATAGGCAGGTTGGTTAATTAGTAGGCAAGCGAATAGGCAGGTTGGTTAATCAGTTGGCAAGTGAATAGGCAGGTTGGTTAATTAGTAGGCAAGCGAATAGGCAGGTTGGTTAATCAGTAGGCAAGCAAATAGGCAGGTTGGGTAATTAATAGGCAAGTGAATAGGCAGGTTGGTTAATTAGTAGGCAAGCAAATAGGCAGGTTGGTTAATCGGTAGGCAAGCGAATAGGCAGGTTGGTTCATCAGTAGGCAAGCGAATAGGCAGGTTGGTTAATCGGTAGGCAAGCGAATAGGCAGGTTGGTTAATCGGTAGGCAAGTGAATAGGCAGGTTGGTTAATCAGTAGGCAAGTGAATAGGCAGGTTGGTTAATCAGTAGGCAAGCGAATAGGCAGGTTGGTTAATCGGTAGGCAAGTGAATAGGCAGGTTGGTTAATCAGTAGGCAAGCGAATAGAATGGTTAATTAGTAGGCAAGCGAATAGGCAGGTTGGTTAATTAATAGGCAAGTGAATAGGCAGGTTGGTTAATCAGTAGGCAAGCGAATAGGCAGGTTGGTTAATCAGTAGACAAGCGAATAGGCAGGTCCGGCTAGTTCGAGCCAGCCTGGAGATGTACCTCGTCAATGTTTCTGCTGCGACGGATTTTCGCGTCATCTACAGATTCGAATTACCTTGTAGACGATGAGCGTGTGAGTGTTGTCCAAGAGGGTGGTGCCATCGTATCTCATGAGCTTCACGAACGCCATGCCAAACACCTTCTCACTGCGGTCTTTGGCTGGAGACAACATCAAAGGGAACACACAGAGCGTCCCGCGGTTACAAGGAGAGCCGCGGGGATGTTACACGCCGGAGGACCCAAGCCCTCTGATCCACGCCACTGGCGGTCTGTCCAGTGATGTTTTCAACCACGTCGCAGCGTGGATGTGTAAAAGTCTGTTTTTTTTTAGATAAGGCGTAGTTGAATGTGGAAAAAGCAAATCGTGAATGTGTGAATCAGAAGCAGATGTTCACCAGATTAAGGAATTTGGCAAATGATCCCAATCCAGAACCATGCAGGCTTCGGTGACACTAATCTGGACATTTTTGTTACTTGGAAACTAAATAATAGCCAATGGAAAAAAATAGGTATACATTATAAATAACTCTAAAAACGTCATATATTACAACAAAAAATCTTCAATGAGTCTGCATACTTTTTCAGAGGAGATATATACGCGTAATTTATGTTTTGCTTGCGAAAGAAAATTAGATAGACAAAACCAATGCAAGCAAGGGATGAACACTCAACACCAACAATCTACTAATCCTGCTTGCTGTATCACCATCTCCTGCACACCTCGCAGTCCAGCAGGTTAGGTGTAAAATGACACGGTCACGTTAATAACAATAATCTCCATTTATCTGGGAACAGTTCGCAAAGTCTTAAAAAATTGCTTTCAGCAGGGTCCTACATTAGGGCTATTTGGACCAACATCGTGAATGACTAGTACTGTTGTGGCATCATGTGGGAGAGGACCAGAGAGAGCAGAGAAAACCCAACAAACATAACGAGGTGGGGACACACAGCACTACCATCTAGCGGTCACCTCGCAGCAGCACCGTGCCTACTATGCCCGATGTAAGCCGTACTGGCCACCCATTCAACTGCGGTGGCCATGCGATGTTATCTCCCTCTCCTGGCACACAGGAGGTCGTGTTGTATATTTGAAGTTTGCATGTTCTCTCTGTGGTCACGTGGATTTTTCTCCAGAGTCCTCCAGTTTTTCTCTCCATTTATAAAAAAAACACGAATTTAGATTTGGCTATAATTCCCCTTTCAAAAAACATGACATAAGCCACTTCGATGGCCTATCATGCAAGTGAAAAAAGTAAATAGTTACTAACCAGGCTCAGACCGGCTAAGCTTCTGAGATGTGATTAGAAGCAATTGAGGTAATTTAATCACGTGAATAATGCCCTCTGGGTAATCCACCGACTCTGCTGGTAGAGCATTGAACTAAGAGGTATGTGCCACCACTCCTGGCATAAACCATCTCCCCGTGAGCAGAGTGCTGTGGGTGTGGAGAGACTGGCAAGAACGCAAGCGGGTGCGAAGGCGTGTTGGTGTCGTTGGTCCTTGACTCACACTCGACGGAGGAGCGGTGGCGAAACGTGAACCTCAGGTGACTGCGATACATGTCTTCAATGGGCACTGCCACCTGCAAACGACGACACAGATAAAGATCCCCCAATCACTCTTACAGACCACTAGGGCCGAGCGCTATGAGCAAGCACTTATTTAGTTAGGCCAACGTGGCAGTTGCAGATGTCTCCATAACGCGAATGTTCACACAATGCCTGAGCTACTCAATTAAGATTTAGTCAACCTAGGGCACGCATAGGTTTGGTTAGGATTCCAATTACCACTGTCGTTCCACATGGCATGAAATGAAACTTAGATTACTGGGGTTTCAGGGGAGTGTGTAAACCACAAAAACATTGCTTACCCACACACATCTAAACACGCTTCATCTACGCGCATGCACATACGGATATACAGGACACAGAGAGAGCATGCACACGCAGCATGTGCTACCAGCACAGATGTACAGCAACAGGTCAAGAGGAGGGCACACAAGACGTGCACAGTGTACACACACACACACACATATAAGCTGAAGAAATTTAATAAAATAATATCAGTGGTGAAAAAATACTGAGGAAACATTTCGAAGTAACAAATGACACGAGTCATTATTAATGTGGGGCTCTTAAATTGAAGAAAACACTCATTTGCGAAAATGGAATGTGGAGTTTCCACCAGCAGCTCAGGGCTGCTGAGCGATGGCCGTGAACACCACCTCACACACCAATGGCTTTGTGGGTAAATTAATGAGACGTAACTCACCTTGACCGTCTCAAACCACTGGGGTGCCTTGACCTGGTAGTAAACCACCGACTTGTACTCTGTTACGGGGTTGGTTCCAGCGCCCAAGCAGATAACATTCTGACAAAGACAAAGATCCTTCACTCAGACTTGCAGACACAAGTGCTGTTAGCGAGCACCTATGAAGGTCAATACGGTTCCAGAAGCGGCAGTGTGATCAACATCAAGCAAGCAAAAATCTCTATCAGTGTTCATCTTGACAGAAAGCTGCAGGTACCCATTTAGGGCTGAGCTGACCTAGAACAGATCCAAACAAGGTTCATAAAACAGGAATGTTGTGCATGGCCAAGAATCAAACCTGGGCTTGGACGGGAAATCAGCCTGGACCACCGATTCCCCACAAACACACACACGTAACATAGCGATCCATTTTTACCACTGACCCATCTAGAATTATGGTGGGGCCTGTGTGTAACAGAACAATTGAAGCTGAGAGTTGGTGGATTACTCAGATTTATGAAACTCCGAACAATATCCCAGCTGGGATTGACTCAGCTTCTCATCCTTCAGGGGATAATACAATGAGCAACTCAGTAGCACTTTATAGAATGCCAAGAGTTTGCATCCTGTGGAGAGAGTGGGCCCCCACCATGCAAATGTGAAAATTTCACCAGTGGCTCAGGGCCACTGTATGAGATGAATATGCAGCAATACTTGTTGGAGCAAGGAGACACTTCACCTTCGCTCTGACATCACCAAAACATAAACGTGACTTTATTTTCTAAAACTACACCTTTTTCGATCACGTCCATAGCTGAAGCATTACTGATCAGTTGAGTTAATTGCCGAAACAAACGGGGCAAATCCTGTGAGAAAAATAGAGTTTATTTCCAAAGCAGTTGCTACAGCAGCGAAGCCATTGCTTGGGCAAGGCACGCAGATGCCCTCTGGTGCGCGCGGTGATAAATGCATGCCCACGTGCACGGGTAAACGTGCAGACAAGCTGGTAGCGGAGCATGATCACGGACTTAGTTTGCGGACGGAAGGACGTTTTTATTAACCGCAGCCCTCCGCTAATTTTTGGTGGGGAATGTGCAAAGCGTTCTTCTTGCGGGCCACAAAGTAGACGCCAAATAACCCGCGGACATCGCCATTTGCCAAGTGTTGGGTAATGTTTGGTAACCCACCGGTCAAGGTAAGGCAAAGCGTATCACAGCTCAAATGAGCAATGAGGCGGTGCTCATATCCATTGGTGGCCTTGAGCCAGTGATGGGAATTCCTCATTTCAACAGCAGGGGCCAGGCTCTCTTTAGCTCAGCTCCTGCAGACTTACGTATTCTATCACCGAAAAGGAAATATGAGCTGTCAATCCCCCAAAACAGTATATTCACTGAATTACTTTCTGATTTTAAGCCGGGTACGCTAATGATATTGCATTCAAATGTCGAGGAAATGGCAGCAGAGCAAATAGGTTCCAGTCCCACCCACGAAGATTTGAGTGTCATTCCCTTGTAATACCCAGGGGGGATATCACCACATAATTATATATATATTTTACAAGCAAAACATTCACTATGGAAATTCCAGAGCACCCTGATGCAGTGACTTCATGAAAAAGAGTCTTCATCTTCAGCGAGGTCTTCTTGGATGACCGGCTCGCTACACAACAACAGGACTTAGAAGCACTTAAATAAACTGTGCATCTGTCTCAAACGGTGTGCACCTACATCGCCCTCCAAAGCGCAGCAACATGTCGGGCTGGTGCTACCCCACCCGACGATCACCTTTACTGCCACAGAGTGAAATTCACGCCCTTCCCCCCCGCCAATCCCTGGAAATTCGCAACCACATTGGCTGCGAGCTTACGGATGGGAGGGCACGACAACAACATCGAGTGATCCTGAGCAGTGTTTTAATTGGGAACGGGGCGCTACCTCCAAGACTTTTCCTTCCTCGTCGCAGACGCACATGGTGACCTCGGTGTTTTTGGGCGTCGTCTTGTTGCCCTTGTCGAACTCCCCGTTTAACAGGGTCACGTAGATGTCGTTCCTGACGTCCCCTGCGATGCGGCGTCACGGTCACGCAGGAAACAGCAGCAGCGGCACACGGCAACGTAATGTTAAAGTCACTAACGTCTTATTTGAATAAATAATCAAGCCAAAGCTTGATACACACAGTCAACAACTGAATTTATTGGCAGGTGTGACAAATTCACACCTCCGTGAAGGTGCGCCGATTTGTCCTCCGCACACCATGTTCTCGCTCCCTTTGTCACATCTGTTCCCCGAATATTATTATTTGTTCGAATCCTTCTTCATATGGTGAAACAAATCTCCCCATGGGACAAGGATAATCTCCGCAGGAAGCCTACTATATCCATAGGCTGAGTGCTATTGCCGGAGGTTGACTGATCGTTACCGGCAAGAATAGATGACAAGAGGACATGTAATTATAATTGTTATCGTTGTTACGCACCAGGCATGATGATTTCTGGGAAGCCCAGCTTGCGGGCGATGGCTGTGGAGCGATCGACCAGATGGGGGAACTCCTGGCGGATCTGCTTGATGTCGCCATGAAGCATCTTCAGAGAGACGTAAAGGCCTGTGTATGGCACCAAAGACAAAGATCCCCCGTATAGCCTTTAATAGACTATTGGGGTAAGTGCTGTTAGCGAACACCTATTAAGGCTGGCACTGCACACGATGGGGTGGATGGCCATCACCACAAACAGCTGTCTTTGTCTGAGCAGTGTTGATATTTACACACTGCACCAATGTACACATTTTTAAGGCTGAGTCGAACCTTGGGGAGGCCTAGGACCGGTTCTGATATTCAACATTGATATTGGGCATGCGCGGGAATCGAACTCGGGTGGCTGGGTTCACAGCACAGTGCGCTAACCCCCGTGCCGCCGCTACCACTATAGGGGTGTATAGTGTGTGTCCCACACATCATGACAGAGATCCCCCAACAAGCCGTACGCAATGCGGGGGGGGGGGGTGGGGCAAGCGTGTGGCCAGGAACACACCAGGCACCTTTGTCTGATCTTTACACCCTGCACTGTGTACTCGTATTAAGGTGAAGTTGGTCGAGTGCGGGCCAAGAATAGGTTCCAGATGCCACTTTGCCAGAGTTCAGGATGGCAGATTCGCCCATAATTACAATCAGCAACTGCTGATGACGTACGTGACCAACCAGTGAACATCTAGGATGCTGTGGCTAGCCAGGCTTGTTTCAGGAACGCGCACAAGAGGGAGACATTCATTTTGCACTGGCCCAGGAAGCGGTAAGTACATAAGGCAAAGTCAACCCTCAGGCTTTTACTGACATGCAGTTACAAAGAATATATGGTCTCTGCTGTGCACGCTGCAACACAGGAGCCTCGGGGCACGACCCTGCATTGCATCGGCGCCATCGCCAGCAGCCAACGTCGCACTCACCCTGGCCCTTGTGGTTGACCTCCTTAGACGACACGACCTTGCTGATGACGTTCTGGAGGAAGTCGTTTTCTCCTGACAACCTGAATGAGAAATTGGAGGTGAGGTGGCGGGGAGGGAGGCTTTGTCTTTGTCACCTGGCTGGGCATTAATGTTCCGCAGCGTACATAGCAACGCACGCCGCATGCACGCCGCATGCACGGCGCACAGGGGAATACAGCAGTATGCCCGCGGACAGGCAGGCGGAAGCAGGAACACGCTCGGAGATGGAAAAGAGGGAGGTGGACAAATAATGCAGCAAGCAGGAGGAGGAGGAACAGGAGGAGGAGGAACAGGAGGAGGAACAGGAGGAGGAGGAACAGGAGGAGGAGGAGGAACGGTTATGATGAGGCCTTCAGGGGCCCTCCGGTTTTTCACTCAACATTTAGAGACAGGCATTTTGAGTATTTGGCTGCGATAAATTCTCACGTAATAAGCCACTTCGTTGAGCTTTAATTTGGGGCCAGGTTTCTTCTGAAAAGAGCTGTATAGCTCAGCGAGCCTTATCTGGCATAATAAAAAATAGTTGATTTTTTCAGATAAAAATCTGCACAGCACTCCGAACGGGGCGACCGTGAAGCTACCTACCTGGAAGATATTTTAAAGGCCCTGTGCTGTGATTCTTTGAGGGCACTGGGTGACGTCACGTGACGGAACCCCGTCCGGGGCTCGGCAGCACAATACTCCAACGGGTGACGCGTCACGCCGGGCGAGAGGGGGGAAAGTGGAACTACTCACTGCTGGAAGGGGATGAAGTGCTCCTTCTGCTCGTCACTGTCCCCCTTGCCGTTGATGATGTCGGTGATTTCCATCACTGCGGCGCAACAACAACAATAAGCGTGTAACGATTTGTGACGATTCGGGGGTCACGAGATTCTAGAAGAAGTCCTTTTTGCCTCTTTTGTGCCATCCAGTTCGTATGAATAATTTACACGAAGCATAGTTGATTTTTATGCAAACAATCTGATTCAATTTTAATCGACGAATCATTTAGACTTCTACAAATCTGGGAGCGTTAACTTGAACCACACAAATGGCTTCTGAAAAAGCCACACACCTTGGAACGTAGATATTTCCACATTCCCAGGTGATCGATTCAAATGTATATTTTGAAATGAGTCAGGGTAATCAAGCAAAAAAGGGTAATGCTCATCTCTGTTGGTATACCGAGCCAGTGGTGTAAATTCCACATGCCTATGACAAGGGTCAGATTAACCACAGGAAGGCCTCAGTTGACTGCCCATAAGCAAAAGTGACTGTAAGAGCATTCAAAAGCTCAAAAGCGCAGTGAAACACCGATCCTTAAGGCCTGCTGTTTGGCGGATTACTTTCAATTTTTCCTGTTACTTCTTTATAAAAAAAATTTCCTTTGGACACACTGGTCCTCGCCAGAACAATGTAGACTTTCCACCACTCGCTCAACGCTACCAAACAGAGAGTAGAACCCTTATTACCACACTTGACCAAAAGAAGGGAGACAAAACTGCGATTTCTCAAGAGCCCTTGTGCAACGGGGTTTTTCTTCAAGGGGCCATGGTACGAGGGGCGGGAAACGCTGCTGCTGCTGCTGCGACGATGGGCGCTGCTAAGGTCGCGCGCTCGCAATTACCGGCCACCCCGAAGGGGCGGCGCAGCCCCGAGGTGCTCTTCTTGGGGTGGGTCTCCTTGAGGTCCATGTAGCCAATCCGGATGATCTGGCACACCAGGCAGATCCTGTCCCGCTTCAAGTCTCTGCTTCCAAGGTCCTTTTCACAAAAAGTGGACATCCCAAGGTGGGAAAAAAAGGGATAAAAAGGGGAATTTTTTTTTTCGTGAAAAACGAGCCAGCCGCTGATTCAGATGTAGAGGAAGACGTTACCCAATAAAGATTTTGTGATATTTTATTTCAATGTCAAAACCGTATTGATCCACAGCGAGGCGGCAGTTTGTATGTTGCCGAGTCCCTCCCGCCATTCCAAATAATCACTCAAAACTCTCCAAGTCAATAGCCACAAGTGACCATATATCTCAGTGTCATTGGAATGGACAAATTGTTCATGTTTAACCATTGCAACGCTTGTTCATCACCCTGGTAATGGCTTTCCATGTTAAGGCGCTATGGAAATGGTCACTGTGATTATTATAGATTGTTTTAACTGCATATTCATTCACCAATTTTAAATTCCGAGCTATAGGACGGTGTGCTACCATATTCTTCTCCGCGGTACTGGGCTCCACGTTAACTAACGTGGAGCAGCTCCAAACGTGCACCATGCAGCAGCACGATGTCGCTGGGGCCACGGAACTCCCACCTCGTCAACTGAGGTGAAGGAATTTCGTCGAGGCTGTCATGTCCCGAGGAAGGTGCTACGGAGGTCTCTCTCCCTCTCTCTCTCTCTTCTGTACGGATTTGAATTGAGTGGCCACCGTGAATCGATTTCTAGGTTTAAAATCCAGCTGCTTCGCTTCGGAGGAGAGAAAGTGAATGTCACTTTTGCCCTTGGAGGTTCGCACCGCAGTGGACACGAGCTCACGGTGGGCTCCACCGTTTGATGTGGCACACCGCGGATCCGTTGCGGCGATTCGTCTTCTGCTCAGGCTGCGTGCCTCGCCGTCACATGACCATCACATTCAATTCTTTATTATCGAGAATGACGCTTCAAACTCGATGCATTACAGCCTGACACAGGCCAAATTTTGCGTGTACGAAATAACGTCTTTATTGCCTTACTTGAAAACATATTAAGAACAACATTGGCTTGGTGTTCACATTTTAATACAGGTCTATGATTAATGGTATTGATAAAACTGTTTTTTAAGCCCATGCTTTATGTACAATACAATGCAATCTGAACTAATGGAACATGTATATGCCACAGTTTGATCGGATTAATATATTTTTAACGAGGGGGCTCACAATACTGAACAAATTAAATTGAGCACCAGCAAACGCCCCGAAGAACATGGTGATGATTTTTTTTTAAGATAGAGAGGAATCCCTTCTATTTATCCAGCTGGTAAGGTACCACTTTGGCAAGAGTACTCATCTCAAAACCCAAAGGTCACAAGTTCAAATCCCAGTTACGGATCAACAGGTTCATAAATTGAGTACCACTTTGTGGGAAGTAAACAACAGCTAATCCCCTGCCATAAGAATATGTAACTTCCACCTCTGGCTCAGGGCCACCAATGAGATGATCTCCACCCGTCACTGGTTTAAGCAGGGGCACGCTTTTATACTTTTGGTTTTGAACGTCATTTGGCAAAATCATGGCCCCTTCAATGCCCCGAGAAACCAGGAGCGACTCCGCTACCGGTCGTGCAACAGGGGCCAGTTTCAGAGCGAACACTCACGGTGAAGACGACGCGCAGGTTGTTGAGCTTGTTGATGTCTTTGGGCATCCCTTGGCTGCCCCACTGCACCAGGTAATTCTCACTGTCCTCGTGGGAGGGGATTGTACAGCAAAAAACAACATGGCCTAGGTCATGTGCGCTCAAATCCAACCTGCAATCTCTGGCAATTAAGATACTTTAAACTGAGATTGACAGCTGCCATTCGAAACGTACTGCTATTCTCAGGAGGGCTTTGAGTTAGATACCTGTATAAACTTAGCAATGTTGAAACCTTTAGTACATCGATAATGTTAAAGTTATATATAGGTGGTGTATAGCAGTCGATTGATATTGGGAAATAACAAGCTCAAATCCCAGACGTGGATCAACATAGCCCATCATTCTTCAAATCTTAATAAGATGAATACCACTTTGTCAAATAAGGACTTGTTTCATGTATTACTCCAAGCGTGCAAAAGTTGTTTACAGGGCCTTTGATGATGTTGAGCGTCTCGCAATTCAATAAATAGGTTTGTCATGGGGTTGTGCTGTGATTCAAGAATGTGTGCTTCACTTCCGCCGTTGTAACGGTGGACCCTCGAGTGGCTGCAATCGATATAAGTTTCAAAAACAACACACCTCACCGCGCCTGACAAAAGGCACGTATCGTGAGCATGAGGATGAATGATTACACTCCAACTGCTCAACCTACCCTTCTGTCAACTTCACAGATTGCTCTGCTCATGGATCAAATTCAGCGCCCACACACAGAGTAAAACATTTGCATTAACACCGTGTGACGTCTCGTTGGTGACGCCGCAAGAAGCCTCACCTGATGAACATCCCCTCCGCGGGGTCGTAGAGGGACATGAACACCTCCGACTCTTCACCGATCTTGCACACAAAGTTCTTGACGGTCACAAAGAGGCTGTGCGAGTGCATGCCCGCCAGGTTTGCCCGGAACGCGTCCTGATTCTGCGCGAGGTGAGCACGGAGGGGACGGGGAATCAAGTGTTATGGGCATGTTTTGCTCGCGCCTCCAACTTTACGATCGAACGCCTATTTGTCTGTTTCGCGAAACGTGTGCGCGTTACAAATTGTTTCATTTTATTACCATTATTACGATTGTTTCTTTGTTCAAATAGGCAAAAAATTGTATTTACAACCAAGACCAGACATCGGAAGGAGTAGGCAGTATGAATCTTTCCCTGGATCGTAAAGATGCAGCGGTACAATACCAACACCGTTTCTTGTAAAAGCTACGAATACTAATATAAAAAAAAATCGGCTATTGTTTAAAGAAAATCCAAGTGTCTCTCGAAGCATCAGTGCTATTGCTAAACATGAGCCATTGCTATAAATTCAACATTCCTATGCTAGTGCCCAATCACATCATGACAAAAAAAAACACTAAGTGGTACTCAATTATTTTATTGACCACGAACTGGGACTTGAGACATTGACAGAAAATCTGAGTGAGTGGAGTGTCTGCCTGTGCGCAGTGAGTGAGGCAGTGTCTTCGTACTCTGAGCGAGGCAGTGCTGAGTGTATGTGTGCTGAGTGAGACAGTGCTGAGTGAGTGTCTGTGTGCTGAGTGAGGCAGTGCTGAGTGAGTGTCTGTGTGCTGTGAAGGAGGCAGTGCTGAGTGAGTGTCTGTGTGCTGTGAGTGAGGCAGTGCTGAGTGAGTGTCTGTGTGCTGTGAGTGAGGCAGTGCTGAGTGAGTGTCTGTGTGCTGTGAGTGAGGCAGTGCTGAGTGAGTGTCTGTGTGCTGTGAGTGAGGCAGTGCTGAGTGTCTGTGTGCTGTGTGTGAGGCAGTGCTGAGTGAGTGTCTGTGTGCTGTGAGTGAGGCAGTGCTGAGTGAGTGTCTGTGTGCCATGAGTGAGGCAGTGCTGAGTGAGTGTCTGTGTGCCGTGACGGAGGCAGTGCTGAGTGAGTGTCTGCGTGCTGCGAGTGAGGCAGTGCTGAGTGAGTGAGTGAGTGTCTGTGTGCTGTGAGTGAGGCAGTGCTGAGTGAGTGTCTGTGTGCTGTGACGGAGGCAGTGCTGAGTGTCTGTGTGCTGTGAGTGAGGCAGTGCTGAGTGAGTGTCTGTGTGCTGTGAGTGAGGCAGTGCTGAGTGAGTGTCTGTGTGCTGTGAGTGAGGCAGTGCTGAGTGAGTGTCTGTGTGCTGTGAGTGAGGCAGTGCTGAGTGAGTGTCTGTGTGCTGTGAGTGAGGCAGTGCTGAGTGAGTGTCTGTGTGCTGTGAGTGAGGCAGTGCTGAGTGAGTGTCTGTGTGCTGTGACGGAGGCAGTGCTGAGTGTCTGTGTGCTGTGAGTGAGGCAGTGCTGAGTGAGTGTCTGTGTGCTGTGAGCGAGGCAGTGCTGAGTGAGTGTCTGTGTGCTGTGAGTGAGGCAGTGCTGAGTGTCTGTGTGCTGAGTGAGGCAGTGCTGAGTGAGTGTCTGTGTGCCGTGACGGAGGCAGTGCTGAGTGAGTGTCTGTGTGCTGTGAGCGAGGCAGTGCTGAGTGAGTGTCTGTGTGCTGTGAGTGAGGCAGTGCTGAGTGAGTGTCTGTGTGCTGTGAGTGAGGCAGTGCTGAGTGAGTGTCTGTGTGCTGTGAGCGAGGCAGTGCTGATTGAGTGTCTGTGTGCTGTGAGTGAGGCAGTGCTGAGTGAGTGTCTGTGTGCCATGAGTGAGGCAGTGCTGAGTGAGTGTCTGTGTGCTGTGTGTGAGGCAGTGCTGAGTGAGTGTCTGTGTGCTGTGAGTGAGGCAGTGCTGAGTGAGTGTCTGCGTGCCGTGACAGAGGCAGTGCTGAGTGAGTGTCTGTGTGCTGTGAGTGAGGCAGTGCTGAGTGAGTGTCTGTGTGCTGTGAGTGAGGCAGTGCTGAGTGAGTGAGTGTGTGCCGTGAGTGAGGCAGTGCTGAGTGAGTGTCTGTGTGCTGTGAGTGAGGCAGTGCTGAGTGAGTGTCTGTGTGCTGTGACGGAGGCAGTGCTGAGTGAGTGTCTGTGTGCTGTGACGGAGGCAGTGCTGAGTGTCTGTGTGCTGTGAGTGAGGCAGTGCTGAGTGAGTGTCTGTGTGCTGTGAGTGAGACAGTGCTGAGTGAGTGTCTGTGTGCTGTGAGTGAGGCAGTGCTGAGTGTCTGTGTGCCGTGAAAGAGGGAGTGCTGAGTGAGTGTCTGTGTGCCGTGACGGAGGCAGTGCTGAGTGAGTGTCTGTGTGCTGTGAGTGAGGCAGTGCTGAGTGTCTGTGTGCTGTGAGTGAGGCAGTGCTGAGTGTCTGTGTGCTGTGAGCGAGGCAGTGCTGAGTGAGTGTCTGTGTGCTGTGAGTGAGGCAGTGCTGAGTGAGTGTCTGTGTGCTGTGAGTGAGGCAGTGCTGAGTGTCTGTGTGCTGTGAGCGAGGCAGTGCTGAGTGAGTGTCTGTGTGCTGTGAGTGAGGTAGTGCTGAGTGAGTGTCTGTGTGCTGTGAGTGAGGCAGTGCTGAGTGTCTGTGTGCCGTGAGTGAGGCAGTGCTGAGTGAGTGTCTGTGTGCTGTGAGTGAGGCAGTGCTGAGTGAGTGTCTGCGTGCTGCGAGGGAGGCAGTGCTGAGTGAGTGTCTGTGTGCTGTGAGCGAGGCAGTGCTGAGTGAGTGTCTGTGTGCTGTGAGTGAGGCAGTGCTGAGTGTCTGTGTGCTGTGAGCGAGGCAGTGCTGAGTGAGTGTCTGTGTGCTGTGAGTGAGGTAGTGCTGAGTGAGTGTCTGTGTGCTGTGAGTGAGGCAGTGCTGAGTGTCTGTGTGCCGTGAGTGAGGCAGTGCTGAGTGAGTGTCTGTGTGCTGTGAGTGAGGCAGTGCTGAGTGAGTGTCTGCGTGCTGCGAGGGAGGCAGTGCTGAGTGAGTGTCTGTGTGCTGTGAGCGAGGCAGTGCTGAGTGAGTGTCTGTGTGCCGTGACGGAGGCAGTGCTGAGTGAGTGTCTGTGTGCTGTGAGCGAGGCAGTGCTGAGTGAGTGTCTGTGTGCTGTGAGTGAGGCAGTGCTGAGTGAGTGTCTGTGTGCTGTGAGCGAGGCAGTGCTGAGTGAGTGTCTGTGTGCTGTGAGCGAGGCAGTGCTGAGTGAGTGTCTGTGTGCCGTGACGGAGGCAGTGCTGAGTGAGTGTCTGTGTGCCGTGACGGAGGCAGTGCTGAGTGAGTGTCTGCGTGCTGTGAGCGAGGCAGTGCTGAGTGAGTGTCTGTGTGCCGTGAGCGAGGCAGTGCTGAGTGAGTGTCTGTGTGCCGTGACGGAGGCAGTGCTGAGTGAGTGTCTGCGTGCTGTGAGTGAGGCAGTGCTGAGTGAGTGTCTGTGTGCTGTGAGCGAGGCAGTGCTGAGTGTCTGTGTGCTGTGAGCGAGGCAGTGCTGAGTGAGTGTCTGTGTGCTGTGAGTGAGGCAGTGCTGAGTGAGTGTCTGTGTGCCGTGACGGAGGCAGTGCTGAGTGTCTGTGTGCTGTGAGCGAGGCAGTGCTGAGTGAGTGTCTGTGTGCTGTGAGTGAGGCAGTGCTGAGTGAGTGTCTGCGTGCCGTGACGGAGGCAGTGCTGAGTGAGTGTCTGTGTGCTGTGAGTGAGGCAGTGCTGAGTGAGTGTCTGCGTGCCGTGAGCGAGGCAGTGCTGAGTGAGTGTCTGTGTGCCGTGACGGAGGCAGTGCTGAGTGTCTGTGTGCTGTGAGCGAGGCAGTGCTGAGTGAGTGTCTGTGTGCTGTGAGTGAGGCAGTGCTGAGTGAGTGTCTGTGTGCCGTGACGGAGGCAGTGCTGAGTGTCTGTGTGCTGTGAGCGAGGCAGTGCTGAGTGAGTGTCTGTGTGCTGTGAGTGAGGCAGTGCTGAGTGAGTGTCTGCGTGCCGTGAGGGAGGCAGTGCTGAGTGTCTGTGTGCTGTGAGCGAGGCAGTGCTGAGTGAGTGTCTGTGTGCTGTGAGCGAGGCAGTGCTGAGTGAGTGTCTGCGTGCCGTGACGGAGGCAGTGCTGAGTGTCTGTGTGCTGTGAGCGAGGCAGTGCTGAGTGAGTGTCTGTGTGCTGTGAGCGAGGCAGTGCTGAGTGAGCGAGGCAGTGCTGAGTGTCTGTGTGCTGTGAGCGAGGCAGTGCTGAGTGAGTGTCTGTGTGCCGTGACGGAGGCAGTGCTGAGTGAGTGTCTGTGTGCTGTGAGTGAGGCAGTGCTGAGTGAGTGTCTGTGTGCCGTGAAGGAGGCAGTGCTGAGTGAGTGTCTGTGTGCTGTGAGTGAGGCAGTGCTGAGTGAGTGTCTGTGTGCTGTGAGCGAGGCAGTGCTGAGTGAGTGTCTGTGTGCTGTGAGTGAGGCGGTGCTGAGTGAGTGTCTGTGTGCTGTGAGTGAGGCAGTGCTGAGTGAGTGTCTGTGTGCTGTGAGTGAGGCGGTGCTGAGTGAGTGTCTGTGTGCTGTGAGTGAGGCAGTCCTGAGTGAGTGTCTGTGTGCTGTGAGCGAGGCAGTGCTGAGTGAGTGTCTGTGTGCTGTGAGTGAGGCGGTGCTGAGTGAGTGTCTGTGTGCTGTGAGTGAGGCAGTGCTGAGTGAGTGTCTGTGTGCTGTGAGTGAGGCGGTGCTGAGTGAGTGTCTGCGTGCTGTGAGCGAGGCAGTGCTGAGTGAGTGTCTGTGTGCTGTGAGTGAGGCAGTGCTGAGTGAGTGTCTGTGTGCTGTGAGCGAGGCAGTGCTGAGTGAGTGTCTGTGTGCTGTGAGCGAGGCGGTGCTGAGTGAGTGTCTGTGTGCCGTGACGGAGGCAGTGCTGAGTGAGTGTCTGTGTGCCGTGACGGAGGCAGTGCTGAGTGAGTGTCTGCGTGCTGTGAGTGAGGCAGTGCTGAGTGAGTGTCTGTGTGCTGTGAGCGAGGCAGTGCTGAGTGAGTGTCTGTGTGCCGTGACGGAGGCAGTGCTGAGTGAGTGTCTGCGTGCTGTGAGTGAGGCAGTGCTGAGTGAGTGTCTGTGTGCTGTGAGCGAGGCAGTGCTGAGTGAGTGTCTGTGTGCTGTGAGCGAGGCAGTGCTGAGTGTCTGTGTGCTGTGAGCGAGGCAGTGCTGAGTGAGTGTCTGTGTGCTGTGAGTGAGGCAGTGCTGAGTGAGTGTCTGTGTGCCGTGACGGAGGCAGTGCTGAGTGAGTGTCTGTGTGCCGTGACGGAGGCAGTGCTGAGTGAGTGTCTGTGTGCTGTGAGTGAGGCAGTGCTGAGTGTCTGTGTGCTGTGAGTGAGGCAGTGCTGAGTGTCTGTGTGCTGTGAGCGAGGCTGTGCTGAGTGAGTGTCTGTGTGCTGTGAGTGAGGCAGTGCTGAGTGAGTGTCTGTGTGCTGTGAGTGAGGCAGTGCTGAGTGTCTGTGTGCTGTGAGCGAGGCAGTGCTGAGTGAGTGTCTGTGTGCTGTGAGTGAGGTAGTGCTGAGTGAGTGTCTGTGTGCTGTGAGTGAGGCAGTGCTGAGTGTCTGTGTGCCGTGAGTGAGGCAGTGCTGAGTGAGTGTCTGTGTGCTGTGAGTGAGGCAGTGCTGAGTGAGTGTCTGCGTGCTGCGAGGGAGGCAGTGCTGAGTGAGTGTCTGTGTGCTGTGAGCGAGGCAGTGCTGAGTGAGTGTCTGTGTGCTGTGAGTGAGGCAGTGCTGAGTGTCTGTGTGCTGTGAGCGAGGCAGTGCTGAGTGAGTGTCTGTGTGCTGTGAGTGAGGTAGTGCTGAGTGAGTGTCTGTGTGCTGTGAGTGAGGCAGTGCTGAGTGTCTGTGTGCCGTGAGTGAGGCAGTGCTGAGTGAGTGTCTGTGTGCTGTGAGTGAGGCAGTGCTGAGTGAGTGTCTGCGTGCTGCGAGGGAGGCAGTGCTGAGTGAGTGTCTGTGTGCTGTGAGCGAGGCAGTGCTGAGTGAGTGTCTGTGTGCCGTGACGGAGGCAGTGCTGAGTGAGTGTCTGTGTGCTGTGAGAGAGGCAGTGCTGAGTGAGTGTCTGTGTGCTGTGAGTGAGGCAGTGCTGAGTGAGTGTCTGTGTGCTGTGAGCGAGGCAGTGCTGAGTGAGTGTCTGTGTGCTGTGAGCGAGGCAGTGCTGAGTGAGTGTCTGTGTGCCGTGACGGAGGCAGTGCTGAGTGAGTGTCTGTGTGCCGTGACGGAGGCAGTGCTGAGTGAGTGTCTGCGTGCTGTGAGTGAGGCAGTGCTGAGTGAGTGTCTGTGTGCTGTGAGCGAGGCAGTGCTGAGTGAGTGTCTGTGTGCCGTGACGGAGGCAGTGCTGAGTGAGTGTCTGCGTGCTGTGAGTGAGGCAGTGCTGAGTGAGTGTCTGTGTGCTGTGAGCGAGGCAGTGCTGAGTGAGTGTCTGTGTGCTGTGAGCGAGGCAGTGCTGAGTGTCTGTGTGCTGTGAGCGAGGCAGTGCTGAGTGAGTGTCTGTGTGCTGTGAGTGAGGCAGTGCTGAGTGAGTGTCTGTGTGCCGTGACAGAGGCAGTGCTGAGTGTCTGTGTGCTGTGAGCGAGGCAGTGCTGAGTGAGTGTCTGTGTGCTGTGAGTGAGGCAGTGCTGAGTGAGTGTCTGCGTGCCGTGACGGAGGCAGTGCTGAGTGAGTGTCTGTGTGCTGTGAGTGAGGCAGTGCTGAGTGAGTGTCTGCGTGCCGTGAGCGAGGCAGTGCTGAGTGAGTGTCTGTGTGCCGTGACGGAGGCAGTGCTGAGTGTCTGTGTGCTGTGAGCGAGGCAGTGCTGAGTGAGTGTCTGTGTGCTGTGAGTGAGGCAGTGCTGAGTGAGTGTCTGTGTGCCGTGACGGAGGCAGTGCTGAGTGTCTGTGTGCTGTGAGCGAGGCAGTGCTGAGTGAGTGTCTGTGTGCTGTGAGTGAGGCAGTGCTGAGTGAGTGTCTGCGTGCCGTGACGGAGGCAGTGCTGAGTGTCTGTGTGCTGTGAGCGAGGCAGTGCTGAGTGAGTGTCTGTGTGCTGTGAGCGAGGCAGTGCTGAGTGAGTGTCTGCGTGCCGTGACGGAGGCAGTGCTGAGTGTCTGTGTGCTGTGAGCGAGGCAGTGCTGAGTGAGTGTCTGTGTGCTGTGAGCGAGGCAGTGCTGAGTGAGTGTCTGTGTGCTGTGAGCGAGGCAGTGCTGAGTGTCTGTGTGCTGTGAGCGAGGCAGTGCTGAGTGAGTGTCTGTGTGCCGTGACGGAGGCAGTGCTGAGTGAGTGTCTGTGTGCTGTGAGTGAGGCAGTGCTGAGTGAGTGTCTGCGTGCCGTGACAGAGGCAGTGCTGAGTGAGTGTCTGTGTGCTGTGAGTGAGGCAGTGCTGAGTGAGTGTCTGTGTGCCGTGAAGGAGGCAGTGCTGAGTGAGTGTCTGTGTGCTGTGAGTGAGGCAGTGCTGAGTGAGTGTCTGTGTGCTGTGAGCGAGGCAGTGCTGAGTGAGTGTCTGTGTGCTGTGAGTGAGGCGGTGCTGAGTGAGTGTCTGTGTGCTGTGAGTGAGGCAGTGCTGAGTGAGTGTCTGTGTGCTGTGAGTGAGGCGGTGCTGAGTGAGTGTCTGTGTGCTGTGAGTGAGGCAGTGCTGAGTGAGTGTCTGTGTGCTGTGAGCGAGGCAGTGCTGAGTGAGTGTCTGTGTGCTGTGAGTGAGGCGGTGCTGAGTGAGTGTCTGTGTGCTGTGAGTGAGGCAGTGCTGAGTGTCTGTGTGCTGTGAGTGAGGCAGTGCTGAGTGAGTGTCTGTGTGCTGTGAGTGAGGCAGTGCTGAGTGTCTGTGTGCTGTGAGTGAGGCAGTGCTGAGTGAGTGTCTGTGTGCTGTGAGTGAGGCGGTGCTGAGTGAGTGTCTGTGTGCTGTGAGTGAGGCAGTGCTGAGTGAGTGTCTGTGTGCTGTGAGTGAGGCAGTGCTGAGTGAGTGTCTGTGTGCTGTGAGTGAGGCAGTGCTGAGTGTCTGTGTGCTGTGAGTGAGGCAGTGCTGAGTGAGTGTCTGTGTGCTGTGAGTGAGGCAGTGCTGAGTGAGTGTCTGTGTGCTGTGAGTGAGGCAGTGCTGAGTGTCTGTGTGCTGTGAGTGAGGCAGTGCTGAGTGAGTGTCTGTGTGCTGTGAGTGAGGCAGTGCTGAGTGAGTGTCTGTGTGCTGTGAGTGAGGCAGTGCTGAGTGTCTGTGTGCTGTGAGCGAGACAGTGCTGAGTGAGTGTCTGTGTGCTGTGAGTGAGGCAGTGCTGAGTGAGTGTCTGTGTGCTGTGACGGAGGCAGGGCAGGAGGGGGCCCCACCGTTTTCTGCTCCTCCTTGCGGCGGTCGGTGATCTGCTTCGTGGTGCTCTCGTGCGCACGGAACAGGCTGACCGTGCTCGTTTGGTCAGGGTCCAGGATATTTCCATCGTCATCTCGTACCACCAGGTCCAGGCCCAGAATGCTGCACACACAACACGTGGTGTGTAAGGTAGCATATGTATGCAAATTGTCAAAGGTGCAAAGTTGATGCTTTGGTGAAGTTTCATGATGAATAAAACGTTCGTCAACATTATTAAGGATTTTCTTTGCTTACTGTCATTTAGAGAAAACATATACCTCAACGGTTTGGCTGACTAGCCTTCTTCAGGAAAGAATTGAGGTGATAATAAATTAGTATTATTATTATATCCTCGTGTGTTATCGTGGGCAGACTTAACCCATCATTGCCCCACTGTCAACCTCAATACGACTTTGTGGGACCTCAGTGGTTGTCTTGGGTAAACACTGGTCGCTGTCACGGCAATGTGGAATTTACAGCAACGTCTTTCGCGCCGTACATAGCCAACCGTGCTAATCAGAGGATGACTTGCTCATAACCCATGAAATACTGAGATCGTGCCTCCGATTAGCATGGTTGGCTACGTGCGGTGCGAAAGAAATTCACCACAAATACATCTAACCAACGCAGACTTCTAGGACAGTATCCATGCCTGGGCACTCCTCTTCTTGTCCACACGGTAGGCACCAGCACAACATTTATCCTCTTATTTCCTGACAAAGCGCAGCTTTGGAACATCCTTAGCCTTCTTAACCACATGCAAATCTGCCTCTTCACCTCTTACCCACGGTCAAAAAGCACATCGCCTCTTACATGTTCCCGTTTCTGTCTGCTTTGTGCTGTACGCGGAGAGGCTCTACTTGCTGGGTAGCGGCCAGAGGGTCATGTGATGTGAATGTGAACCTATTACAGAAGGCCCGGCACACACGAGGTGATGGCGGTGTAGCTAGGACTCGCCCATCTGTGTTTGTTTCCCCAAACAATAATATTCACACACCACACGAGATGATAATTCCATAACTAGATCGCCAAGACCATAGTACGGTGTGCTAAAGTCGGCACCACAGTTCCACACAAAGACAAAGATCCCCCAGTAAAGCCTTAACAGACTGTTGGGGCAAGTGCTGTCAGCAAGCACCTATGAAGGCCGGCACGGTACACGAGGTGGCGGGTGGCCAGCACCACGCACAACCGCCTTTGTTTCCCCAGTGGTGATGTTTACACACCGTACGAGGTACTCATTTGAGGCCGAGTCGACATAGGGGAGGAGGCCCAGGACCGGTTCAGATAAGCGTTACTGGTATTGGCCGTGAGTGGGAATCGAACTCGGGTCACCGGGTCAGTAGAGCAGGCACCATAAGCCTTTGCCAGCAACGACCACTTCCTGTCAGCCTGCCCACCTGTTTCCGTAGTCGATCCTGGCCGTCACCTTCTGCTTGAGCTCCTTGAGCTCGTCAAGGGGCAGCGTGCCGGACAGGATCTGCGAGCGCCAGTTTATCAGCTCGTACATCATGTCACCCAGCTGCCTGAACCTCTTGCTGTCATAGTTCTGGGGAAAAAGCGCACGTGCTCATCAATAAAGCGGACGAAGCGTAGCGACGTCACAGCGGCCATGCAAATGCTTACCGTCGCAATGCAGAGGCTACACAGTGTGAGTGACAAATATGTTGAGTTTTTTTTTTATTTAACGGAAGAAACTACTACGGCTGTTGTGCATTAATGCTAGGAGTTTAACTTGGATTCTTCATCTTACCACAGTGCACTTTCCACAGCATTGCTTCTTTATACCAGCACATTCAGACAAACAACAAAGACAAGTTCCCCGTATCATCTTAACAGACTCTTGGGGAAAGTGCTGTTAGCGAGCACCTATGAAGGCCGACACGGTACACGAGGTGGCGGGTGGCCAGCACCAAGCCCGGCCACCTTTGTCTCCCAAGTGGCAACGTTTACACATTGCACCAGGCACTCATTTGAGGCCCAGCCGACCTAGGGGGAGGCCCAGGACCAGTTCAGATAATCATCACCGGTGTTGGCCATGAGCGGGAATCGAACTCGGGTCGCCAGGTTCGTAGCGCAGCGTGCTAACTGCTACACTACCGCTCCCCACACACAACAACAACCGCCATTTGCCACTAAGTGGCGTTAACGTCACCATAGCACTTGTGAAAGGCTATGTGCACATTAAGGCCACAAGAAGTGTCGAACGCCCGTTCGCAGGAGGTCACGGGACAGATCCAGGTGCCATGGGTCAACTGACTGAGATGACTGGCCGATGCACCACCTGTGCCCCCTACTGTGTCAACTTGCTGTGTTTTAGCCACCAGGCATTCCGCTCATTGGTATGAGCGTCGCTCCTCTGCCCTCCGTTATTGCTGGAGGGCGACTGCCTCCAACTGCCCAGTAGCATCCTTCACGAGCCCCCTCCACAGAAGCCGATCTTGACACCGCTGGTACCAGTCATTGGCAAGCCCGTGCCGCACCTATTTAGCCCCTTCTATCCAGCCGAACAAAAGCTGTTTGGGCATGCGGTGGCTGGGCATGCAGGCTACATGACCCAGCCAACGCAGCCTTGCCTGCCGGAGCTCACCGAAGAGACTTTGTCCAGATATTTCAAGAATTTGTGAGCTCCTCACACAATCCAGCCTGGATAAACCCAGGATGGATCGAAGGCAGGCCAGCCTAAATGTGTCTAACCGGCACAGATTTTCCATTAGGGGGGTCCACGTTTTCGCAAGCATAGAAGGGAGGGCATGACCGTGGCCGAGAAGACCCGAAGCTTCGTGTGGAGCGACAGACCAGGTAGCTTCCACACAGCATTACGCAGCCGATGAAAAGATAATGCCGCTTGACTGATTCAGAGTGAGACCTCTGCTGTCAAACCATAGCCGGTCGTGAGCCAACTACCCAGGTATGGAAAACTCTCCAGGTATAGAAAACTCAGGTGTCTTATGCGAGTGATGAGATCTGTGCAATCCATCAAGCGAGCATCGAAAGTTCTAAATTGCTGGCAAAGACCATCAGAGAGACCGGTTCTCTGATGCTAATGAGGGAAAGGACCTCTCTCAATTGAAGCCATTCATCAGCCCAAGGGCACTGCCAAAGTAAGGTGGGCTGACAGGGATAGGGGTGGTTAATACACGATTTAAACTATTTAAACTATTTATTATTGTACCAGGTAATGCCCACTGGGCCATATAGGTATTTTTCAGAAGCGACCTGGGCACAAATGATAGCTCACTGAAGTGGCTTATCATATGGAAATGTATAGCAGCCAATCACTCTAAACCCGTGATTCCAAATGCGGATGGAAAAACCGGAGGACCCGGAGAAAAATCCACACGACCACGGGTAGAGAGACAAGCAAACTCCAAATATACAGCAGGCGTCAGGATCGGGATCGAATCCACGACCTCCTGGATACCAGGCGAGGAAGTTAACATCTCGGCACCGTGACGCCCCTAAAAGTCAGAGATGGGCACGTGTTTGTGCCGCAACGGGCGCTCACCACATAGAGATGGCGCCACGTGACGGCCCACTCCCGCAGCGTGGTGGTCACCTCCTGCACAAGCGGCGACTCAGTGGGTCCTGGCGCCACCACCTCCGTGCTCCTAAAGAGAAGATGTGCACCGACAGGGACGTGGGCACCGCTCAATGCTTGTTTGGGCAAGGCACACATTTACTTGGGAAAAACTGTCACGTTTGGTCTTTATTAGGTATTTTTACTTTACAATTTCTAAAAAAAAGAGCTGTTATAAATAATAGAAATGTAGAACTGTAGCAAAGTTCAACTGCACTGATAACTCCTCATAAATCAGAAACCAGCACGGAGATTCCATGTTCAGGAGTTTGAATGTTAAAAATTCACAGTGCAAGTACTTCATCCAGCTAAGGCCTCACAATGAGGATGTGTTGCTGATACAATGTGTGCCCTCTATTGGGCTCGCATGGCACTGTGTGTATTCCCATAATGCTGTACTTCCCAAGTGCTTTCACGACAGCTCTATAACATACGGTCATGGAAATAGAACGAACACAATAATGCGAGCTTACCCCTTTTTGTCAAACAGTGCATTCTTGATATGAATGTAGGCAGATGGGAAGATACCCTGTGGAAATCAGAGAGTTAAGCCAATCATCAAATAACAAAGAACACAAAATAGAATATTCAGATTTCAATGTTAAAGCACAGAAAGTCAAAACCACTCTGTGGACCTGCAATCGTAGCTCTGACACTACGTAACCCTGATTATTAATTATTCCTCTGCGTTTGACAAAAGCAATACTCACTTTGTGGCCCACGCAACCGTGGATATTATATTCATAGGCTAGCCCCTGTCATGGGAATGTGGAGTTTCCAGTGTGGGCTCAACATCGCCAACGGAGATGAATAATGCTCCATGTTCGTTTTGAGAAGGGAGATACCTTCATTTTCACTTCCGATTACCCGACTGAAGTTCCCTTGATCTCCGTTGCCAATGCACACGTCACGGCTGCTCGTGGATTAAGCAATAGACAGACTCGTCTCTCATATGCAACACTACCTTAAGAAAATAAAGGAATGCTTACATTGTGACAGGGTATACACATTTCTCAATAAGATCAAAAACAGCAATCAACTCAGGCTTTTCTCACCAATATTATTATCTTGTAACAATTGCACTATTTTTCCAGTAACAAGTAATTTAGCCCACAAGAAATTAACATGCATCACCGTAAGAATGAACGCGGTAAATCATTGAGAATTATATTGCAACTTTACCTTCCGAGCCTTGTTCTTGATTGTATAGCCTCGAAACCATCCTGCAACCGTGGGGAGATAAAACACTGCATATCAACGCACCTGAAAATAGATTTACATCTGTAAAAGTGAATATAATTGCATTATCAAGAGCAGGTCTATAATGTGCACGTGTGTATGTATATGTAACACAATGATTAACAAGAATGAGTAACAATCCCAGTGACCTAGTCCTTTCAACTCCTTGCCATGGATGCAATTAGTGGCAAGTGGTATGAGCCTACCCTGTGACGTGCACTAGGTCAACTCAGCCTCAAGACGGTATAAACATCAGCATCGACAAGACAGAGATAGCTCGCTCTGGTACTGCCAGCTCTCTGGCTGTGTCCCATGTCAGATTTATAATGGCTGCCTGCAAGTAGCACTTGGCCCAACAGTCTGTTAAGGCTATACGGGAGATATTTGTCATTGTTGTTTGTCTGGTTGCGCTCGTATAAAGAAGCAATACTGTGGAAAGTGCATGGCGGTACGATAAAGAACCCAAGTTAAATTCCTAGCAATGATGCATAACAACAGTTGCTGCGTTCAATAAATAAGTAAAGCTACATATATTCGTCATTAACACTTTGGCCTTAAAATTAAACTTATGTAATAGGCGACGTTTCAGGAAATGGCCCTCCTTGGTAGCACATTAGGAGAGGTCAGATAAATAAAGTGAACGGGTGTTGCAGACTGCACATAACAACATGGGGCCTGATGAGAATTACATTTAAAACATTTTCGCTCAAAAACAGTTTTTTTTAAGGAATATGGAGTTACTTAATAAGTAATTAATGTTTACGTGACAAACCCTTGAGTATTAAAAAAGTATTACGAAAAAAAATGATGTAAAATTGTAAAAAAAAACTTGCTGGCACAACGCATTGTGGGGAATATATTTTCGTTTAAGGGCACAGTGGTAATTGACGACTGTGCGGAGATTTTTCGTTTTAACTGTGCTTATGCACCCCCTGCCAACGCAAACATTACCGAACACGCCGCTAAATCCACCTTGTAGTGCAACGTTTATCCACTGGGGGTCACCACTACGCCTCGTCGGAGAGCTCTGTGCAACAGCGTAACGTGGATGTATGAAAATTCGCGGCACTCAGTATTTGTATAAACGCATGGTTTCGTCAAGTTCAAGATTGACGCATGTTTAAAGGGCATTGGGCTATTTGAGAGATGTGCCACACGTTGACAGCATGTGTACATGTGCACCGAACGTACAGAGGCTATTGTATACACGATGGCTGAGCTGTGCGTGGCGTGCGCGGTGCGCGTGCTCACGCGTTGTGTGTATATTGTGTGCAGAAGCACGATTCGAGCGGTTGGCTACCTACGGTGGGAAATAAATTCAACATAAATACATTGATGTGCGTAGAAAAGCATACGTGTGTGCCAGAGGAGAAAGTATATATATTGGTAGGCATGTGTGTATATTGAACTTCTTTTGCACCATACGAAGCCAACCGAGCTAACGTCTGTGTTGTGCTTTAACGGAAGCTTATATACGTGTGGTGTGTGTGTGTGCGCATTGTGTGTACATGGCAGAAGCACATGTTTGTATATAAGAAAGCACGTGTTTGAAGAGAAGCATTATTAGTGTGTGCAAGGTGCGTGTGTAAACAAGTGTGCAGTGTGTAGTGAGGTGGGGAGCGCACTGCACTATAACGAACCCAGTGACCCAAGTTCAATTCTCACTCCCGGTCATCATCAGTGACGAACATCTGAACTGGTCCTACACCTCCCCGAGGTTGACTCAACCTTAAATGAGTACCTGGTGCTGTGTGTAAACATCATCACTGGGGAGACAAAGGCGGCCGGGCGTGGTGCCCCCTGCACTACCTCCTCGTGCGCTGTGCCAGCCTTCGTAGGTGCTCGCTAAGGGCACTTGCCCCATCAGCCTGTGTAGGCTGCAGGGGGATCTCTGCCTTTGTGGCGCGGTGTGTGCCTCACCGTCACAGCTCTCCAGGATGTGCACCACATCGCCGATCTGCAGAGGCAGCTGGTGCTCGGTGTTCGCCGACAAGTTGAATATGGCTACACGTCACACACGGGTGACACGGGAGACACGGGGGAAACGGTTAAACAAGAGGAGACACAGTGGACCACGTGCACGCCCAAACGCAGAAGTACGCACAGGGAAACAGGCAATTCTGTGAATGCGGACAGGCACACCACACCATAAAGATGCAGTGGATCGTACATAAACACAGCAGATGACATAAACGGATATAGAGACACATGCACAAGCAGCAGGCGCATATGAAGTCACACGTACGGACGTACGATTAAAACAATTACATTATAGATATCATAGATGAACACAAAATAGGACAAAGACACACTCGGAAAAATACACAATGGGACAGACACATACACGAGAAATGGCATTCGGACGAATTAAAAATTCCATACAAACACAAGGGACAAATATACGTGCACACAAAGGAATGCAAACACATGCAATGACACATGGCTGACTCCTCATTTCATCATGTATTCACTAATTATTAATCATTTATTCAAATTCATTATTTATGTATGATGCATATTGCACACACAAAATAATCCAACAATTACCCCGGTATCGTGCTGAAAGGAGAAATCCAAAAACACTCTGACCACTTACACCGCACGTCAAAATAATCAGATGTAGAATTTAAGGATCGTAATGAAAGGACTGCCGCTATAAACTTTTCAAACGCGTGGCGAACTAGGTGAAACATCAACAATCCCAAACACTGTTACGGTGGGAGGAAAGGGGGGGGGCTTAGGGGGGTGGTGGGGAAGGGCAGCAGAACATCGCTTGTTCAAGGACAACGCAGCAAGCCATGCATTAATCACGAGGGCTTTTGTACGGCGCACAGGATGCAATGTATAGGAAGGCAATGTGCATGCTACGTTCTCAAAACAGAGTGCCATCAACCCAAAAGGCATCGGGCTTAAGCAGACTTGCTGGTGGCAAGTGCCGTTATCGAACAACTATTAAGGCCAAAACCAAACACATGGGAGTCACGTGATCAGCACCCAGCCCGGCTGCCTCGGTCACCCCAGCGTTCATGTTGACACAGGACGCCAGGCAAAGAGAGAACACTGGGGCAGGGGGGGGTACCCAGGGTAGGTTCGGATCCCAATTTCAATCGATGCTGTGCATGACCAGAAGTGGCGCGTGGGTAACGGGGATCGTGTCACGCTGTGTGCACGAACCACGACCTCACTGCCCCGCGTGATGTTATTCAAATTGAGGCGCACGGCTACCCGCAACGTAACTGGACGAGACACGCACACACGCACACACGTGCACAGGGACACAGAGTTGGCTACACATCCCGGCTTAAATGGGAAAAGTAGCACTGGCCAGGCCTCCACAGCGGTCCCATCAAGTGAGGCTTGGAGCTTTCTCGTCAGAGCCCAGGGAAGTCATTAATAACATAATTCATTTAAGGTGTGAATAAGCATCGACTGTGCTGCACATCGACTTGCTGCCAACTCTTGAGTCAGCACTTCTAAACTTTTGGCTGAAATTCAAGGGCGTTAAGGCGAAGCTCCAGCAAGTCAACGGTGTTGTCAGCTAAGAGCGGGCAAAAGCTTTTAAGGAGCCACACGTATCACCGTGGAAATGAGTAAAGTGTGGCGGCACACGCCTGAAACGTAACTACTCGGGTGTGGGGGTTCGTGGGTCAAACAAAGATGGGAACCAATATGAGACTGGACCCTCCAACCTGGATACCACAGTGCGAGCGAGTATAGCAAGTAGCTTGCAAAAGGTTACCTTATTATATAATCTTCCGATGGTAATTCTAGTTCCAATAAGACCACTAATTATTGAAATAAGATACATTAGGGGCCGTCCATAAATGACGTCACGCGATTTTGGGCGATTTTTGACCCCCCCCCCCCCCCCTGGTCATACGGCGTCATAAGAAGTCAGACCCCCTACTCAAATATGACGTCACAAAGCTCTGCCCCCCCCCCCCGCCCAAACCATATTTCCATTTTGAAAATAAACCATGCTTCAAATCGCTTTAAACTATTGTCATTGTAGTGCGTATTTAACGTGGCGCTGCACTCTGATGTTGTAGGAGTGTTGTTATAACAATTAGTGTTGTTATAACAATTCTATATTTATTTAAAGTTGCGCATTTTGATGCGACGTCACATTTATCACCCCCCCCCCCCTCGTCACACATCGTCACAAATGTCTGACCCCCCCCCCTAGGCGCGTGACGTCATTTATGGCCCCTTAGTATAATTTTTATATTTGTTATCAGACGGTCATATCAGAAGGAGAGGCTTGGACAATGACACAAATTTTCAGATCTCATCCAGAATATTGACGACAGTCGGATGCATCGGTGTACGGCACCGTTAGGAGCTTTCTCCATTAAACTGGCAAAGCTGCCAGGTCGTAATCCATTTCTCATCTCAAAGGGCGTGCCCCGTCGCTTCTGTCAAGCCTCTGCGCAAGCGACCGATGCCGCACGAACTTCACCGTCGTCCTCGGCAGCACCTCGCCTGCCGCCACTGCCAAGCCGCCCACAGAAGAGGGAAGAGCCGCTCGAGAAGGGCAGAGCCCCCCCCCCCCCACAGCAAAATCAATGAGCGCTAACAAAAGCCGCATTTATTATATGGCCTTGTTTACTTCTTTGGAATGCCCGATGCAGCAACAGCAGCAGGGGACTCGGTATTCCATGTTTAAACACAAGCGCCCTTATTCAGAGGCAGCCTCACCTAGCGGTGAGAAAGACGTGTCTCCGAGCAGCGGTGAGCCAAGTACAAAGTGCCTCTCTGCTCTCACGGACATGGAGCGGTGCTCATCTCCATTGGTGGCCGGGTGCCGACAGTGGAGCGTCCACATTCCCAGTCATGGAAGCCGGTCTTTCCACTGTCTTTCTTCAGGTGTTCGCAAGCAAAGACCTCCACGAGTAGCACGGTTGGCTACGTAAGGTGTGAACGGAGTTAAACATACAGACACATGCAAAAAAAGACAAAGATCCCCCGTATGGCCTTGAACAGACTGTTGAGGCAAGTGTATTTAGTAAGCACCTACGAAGGTGGCCAGCACCACGCCTGGACGCCTTCGTCTCCCTAGTGGCAAAGTTTACACACTGCACCAGGTATTCATTTGAGGCCGAGTCGACCTGCTCGTGAAACAGGCTCTCGTTCCCGTGCGGGCCCCCTTTTGGCACGTGCAGTCCAGCTGTGGTTTTCACAATGCGAATGCAGCCTGACTTTCTCAGAGATGCGAGTAATGCATGATTCGTCGTCTCCGTCTGCGCGCAAATGTTACGTCAGGACGATGGGAGTTTTCATAAACCAAGCATGATATCGGCAGGCTGTTATCTTGCTCTATGTGCTGCCCTTACGAGTCAAATATTCTCAAGGGAGAAAAGAGTCCAAGAGCCTTGTTGCTAGCGAGCGAGTGAGCGAGCCGGCCGAGTGATGAGTGGGCTATGGAGACCCGACAGGCCGGGCCGGCGTACACTGCACAGTATCTGGCTGGCACAGAGGAGCGGGGGGGGGCACTGCGTACAGAAAGAGGGTGTGGACGCACGATCTCAGCAGCGGAGTGCTGCAATCGAGGCTACCAATGAGGCCAGGTTTATGCCTGCATACGTATTGTTAGGTGCAGGCAGGATTCGCACGTAGCCTTCAACAGACTGTTGGGGTGAGTGCTGTTAATGAGCATCTATTCAGGCTGGTACGGCACAGGAGGGGAGGTGAGCGGCCAGCACTACGCCCGGCCGCCTTTGTCTCCCTAGTGGCGATATTTACACCTTCCTGGGTACTCATTTGAGGCCGAATGGACCTAGAGGAGATCCAGGATCGGTTGAGACAACCGTCACTGGTGTTGGCCCCACAAGAACAAACGCACGCACACATGCACACACATACATACACACATACATACACATACATACATACACAGACACACGGGTGCCCAGTAGCACGCCTGCTCTATTGACACATCCGTCCGAAGTCCCCAAACAACGCTTTTTGCAGCTGGCCGCCAAGATCATTAAATCGTGCTTTGCACGTGGGGGGCAGCCGGGCAGCGTGGCGAGGGGAGGGCGTAGAAGAGATGAGCACGGGGGAGTGGGGCTGGCTGCAAGTGAGTGGTGAAGGACCGAGTGGAGAAGGTTGTCCCCGATAATCCACACGCGCACGAGGCCAAGTATCCCTGATAATCATAACTGGACAGGTGGTGCTGTTGTTGGACCTCCTAACTCGCAACTGCAATGTTGAGCGTCCGAATCCGGGTCAGGGTTGACAACCAATCACTTCTTAGGAAGTGAATAAAATTAAGACCACATTGTGGAAAGTCATCATGGGGTTGTCCTATGGAGATACCGTCTCTTGTCATGAGAATGTGGAGATTACACCACTGGCTCATGGCAACAAGTGGCCATGGGAGCCACACCGTTGCTTGCTTGAAACAACGTGAACATTTATTTGTCGAGGAAAACCCAGTTCAGTCCGAAGCCTCTACTTCGGAAGTGCCCTTTGCTCACGAGACTTGATCCCTTTCTTATTTGATTGCACCGACGACGACGCCGTGAGGAAGGAACACAAAGAGCCATCGTCTCAGCGTTAAAATAAGTCCAAGGAGGAAAGGAGCTATAATCGGTGGTCCTGCAGCCTGTGGTGCAATTAATTCCACATTCCTATGGCATAGGCTTAGTGTTTACATAGAACCACCGCAGTCTCTTCCAAAAGCTACAAATACCCAGCAACCAAACACGATGACGCACAACTCGGGATTCTGAAATTCAACCGGACCACTCAATTGCTGACATGCCTGCGGAGTTTTCACGCCCTGGAAAACCATAACCGGCTGTCCACCAACAGGCAATGTGGCTCACAAGTAGCCACGTGTGCTTGCACAGGTTACAAACAGGCCTTCAGGAATGTCGTATAAATAAGTCGGAACATTTTGGACATTACTGCCTTTTTACATTTAATAAACAGTCCCAACAACAGCTATATATTGAAATTGCCAATATGTACACGTTTTGATTTTGCAGATTGTGATTTAT